CAGCACAAATTTAGGTTGATTAGGTCGATGAACCTAGGGACAGCCCTGTGTGCAACAAAACTATTTAGTAGGTTAGAAAAGCAGGCCTGAATATTGTTGTTTTCCCCAGCATTGGAACAGAATACTCATAGCTCACGATACCTCCTTTACTCTGCTAAGTAAGAGCTTGTGCAACTACACCGCTTCTGTGTAGGGGAGAAACTCTCCCAGGAAACATTCCTTAGTATCCTTTAAAATACTACAATACTGTTTATTATAATCCATCCGAATAGGGTTGATTTTGGTCTAATTTCACTTTAAATAAAAAGGAAATAGTTGAGTGTAAAGCGAATTCTGAGGATGAAATGAACTGACATGAAGATAAAAGAGGATTGCTTAGAAAAGACAATTCAATGAAAGGATGAATGAAAGTTTGGAAGTGGGATTTACTGGTAAGAGACTTTAGAGGCGTCTGTGTACATTGGTATGCTGTCCTCATAACTCATTTTTCTTGAATTATATTGGATTCTGTAATGCTCCAGTAGTTTTTGAAACAGATTTCCATTTGAATTCTTGTTGTAAAAACATCATGGGAATTATGTTCTGCTTGGAATTTGGGTAAACAGCATCGTGCAAGAAGAAGCAGATGTTAATATTATATTTTGATCACAAATAGACTGCATTTTTAAAGCCGGGTTAATAAAATGTGGAAAAACATATTGCAAACATAAAACAATTTAAAGAGAAATGATTGCGGCACTTTTCCAGTTTTATTTGCTTGCTGCACCAGATTTTCAACTCACACTAGTGCTATCCATAATGCCGACAGTGCAGCCAGAATCCTTACTGAACAACTCCTGTGAGAAGTTCGGTTACATCTGTAACATCCTTGGGGGGGGGGGGGGGTTCTAAAACTTAAAGGAGAACTATGAGGCGAGAGAAAATCACTCAGCCTCATAGTTCTAGCCGACCTGTGACAATGAAACTGTCACAGGTCGGCTCAATAGATCGGGAAGTGAGCGAACACATACTGTCGCTCGTTCACTTCTCGATCCTGTCCCTGCAGAGAGCCGTGACTGTCACTCACGGTTTCCTGCAGGGATTCCCCCCCTCCCCTGTCCAATCCTCCAGCGCTGACTGGCGGAACAGATGGGGGAGGGGGCGGGTACAGCTGGCTCTGCCGCTAGATAGGCAGAGCCAGCTGTCACTCACGCAGCTGGGTGGATCCAGACAGTAATGTCGGGATCCGTCCCGGCTGCGGTGTCTCAGTATACCCCGAGCTGTAGCTCGGGGTATACTGAGCTATGGGTGATGGGAGGACGCTAGTTTGTGTCCTTCTGTTACCCTTAGGAGAACTATGGGGAAAAGCCCTGACCCCATAGTTCTCCTTTAATAACGGCACACCCGCTTTCCCAAATGTATGCAAATGTGGCAGTCACCCTCATTGTAGGTGAGGTTTAGGATACCTTTATAGCTACATAGTATTTGACGTTGAAAAAAGACACAGGTCTATCAAGTTCAACCTTTGTGTGTCTGATCATGCATGTGTGTGTGTGTACATGAATCCCTGTGTGGTCTAGTTACCCCTGTATGTTATGGTCTCTGACAGGGGCGTCCCAAGACCGGGTGTCACCCGGAGCAGAGACCGGGTGACACCCGCCGTGACGTCATCGCGCATGTGCGTGATGTCGCCACGTGTGTGCACAATTACATCATCGCCCACGCACGGTCATCTTAGTGATGGACACTGGCAGAGAGAGGAGGGGGCCTTAATCCGGCGTGATGAGCTACCTCATCCCGCCGGGTCCCCTCCTCTCTCTTGACACTGTCGGGCTCTCGGTCCATGACCGAGTGCCCGACTTTTCAGAGGGGGTGACACCAATTGTGGCACCCTGGTGCGGGCCGCACCCCCTTGTGACGCCACTGATCTCTCTGAGGAAGGTATCTAAATGTTTTTTGAATGATTCATTACTCTCTGCAGATACCACTGCTTGTGGCAGCGAGTTCCAAAATTTAACCTCTCGAACTGAAAAGACTCCCCTATACTATTTGTGGTTAAATCTTTTCTCCACCAATTTTAGGTGGTGGCCTCTAGTCCTTGTTAGGGAGTTTACTGTAAAACGTTTATTGCTGATGTTGCCATCACCACTAAACATTTTGTACATCAAAAAATGTCCCCTCTTAGTCGCCTCACATCTTGCTTGAACATGTTTCAATTTAGCAACCATGTCTCATAGTTTTGGTCCTCCAGTCCCTTAATTAGTTTAATTGCCCTTCTCTGGGCTCTCTCCAGCTCAAGGACATCCTTTCGGAGGATAGGTGACCAAAACTGGACCGCATACTCAGGATGAGGCTGAACCAGTGATCTATAAAGTGGCTGCCTTGTGGAAAATATGCCTTGGGGGCTGAATGAGAAAAAATGCTTGATTTCCTTATCCCCGTTTTGAATTGGTCTGCGATGCAGTTTTTGTCCCTTTAATTCTGTACTTATGGAATGACATGCACCTGAACTTGATAGTTCCAGTACAGCCTACCTTGTACATCTCTACTATTAAAGTGTATTTCCACATTTGCAGTCCAATTTGAGAAAACCCCTATATATGTTCTTAATGTGTTCCTATTCACACAGCATGCAGAAAAATAACTTTAAAAAAACAAAACATCTTACCTTTCAGAGGTTTTGTTAAATCAGACACAATGGCTGATTCCAGGTTTTTCTGAGCCCTTTCACAGTAGTCTGTCCTTATAGAAAGACTTGGGACTGACATTTGAGGATTGTGTTTACCTGATCTGCTTCATTAACATAGAATGGGCAAGCCACCCTAGAATCCTCCCCCCTCATAGCCCCTCATAACATTTCAAAAACATAGAAGCTAGAACATTTTTTTAACCCTTAAAACCCTAATCCAAGTAAAAACAATTTAAACTGCAAGAAACATGTTTTAAATAATTTAGGTTTAGCTTATGCTTTGTAAATGGGAACATGTAACAAATATAAAATAAGTGTTTTCCCAATTTGGCTGCGAAAGTGGAAACACGCTTTAAGCCTGTGATTGGGTGAAATGCGTCAGGAGAAAGGACCTCAAGTGGACCTTGAGTATTACACCAGCGATGACGTTTGACCTGTAATAAATTCTTCCACAGTGCGGCCATATTTCTTTCTTTTTGAATGGCTGTACATTGGAGTAAGGACACGCTCTCATCGCCAAGCACCCAGTTTATCCCTCAGCTGAGCCATGGAGGAGTGGTGCATTCACTGTGTGTCCTCTGAACTCAGAAGTGGTATCTATGTATTTCTCTTATAACAGGTTTCCTTAAGAGAAAGTTAAAGAAGAGCTTACTCTGAAACAGCCAATGCTACCCATCTTTTTCTTTTTTGCAGAACCCGTCGTTGGGTCCGACCATGTCCCCCATTCTGTATGGCTGCTTTATCTTTTTCAGCTTCCCTATATTTCTAGAAGGAGTTTCAGCTCTTTACACATGTTTGAGCTTTTGTTGCTGTCTAAACGCCTTCTCCACCTACCAGCAGTGCTTGAGACATGGTATTGTCAGAGCTGTAGACAGAAAACGTTGCATAGCTGGTGACCCCTTTCCCCTCCCCTCTCTCATTTCAGCAGGCAGGAACTCCCGCTGTCAGCCTGAAGGTATTTATTACATTGATCTGCTGTGGTTTAAAAATAACATTAGCTACTTTTCCCTCTGTATATATGATTGAGGGAGCTGATTGGAGGCCTTGAAACAGTAAATGTGTCTTGATGGACTGAAAGGCCTTTTATACTGTACATACCTAGAAGTTGGATATTGCTTAAAGGGACACTGTCATCTTCACTGTGCAAGGCAAAGTGACAGTGCCCCTGCAAAGCCCTTCCAACCCTCTTATACTCAACTTACAGGTCCTTCCTTCCTCAATACTAGCCACTGCTCCTGGGCATGGGGGACCATGTGACCTGTTTCCCTGTGATGGTGCTGAAAGGGACAGGTCACATGCTCCTCCATACCCAATGGTGCCAGTTAATGTCACCAGCTGTGATGAAGGAAAGAGCAGTTACTGCCAGTCATTTTGAAGTCACCCCTCCAATGATGTCACCCGGGTGAGGGCTGCACCCCCCTTGTGAAACCAATGTTTATGGTAAAAAACTAAAAATAAATATATATTTCCGTAAGTTCTATCCCCATTCCTAATAACGGGACATGTAAGCCGGCAAAAAATTTGTTGGGGTTCTGATTTTTCTTTCTTTTGGGTCTGAACGCCGTTTCATGTTATTATTCAGATCTTTCGGAATTTCGTTTTAGTTTTGGACGGGGTTTTCTGATTGACCAGAAAACAGTGACGTGTGCTTCTGACTGCACTGACCAATGAAAAGCATTTCTCGCTAAGAAACTGACCAATGCGATCAGGTGACTGTGTTGACCAATAAGTGCTCGCTCTTTTTCTAGGAAAAATCAAAATACAGAGTGCAGGGCTGCGCTGCTGTGTACGTAGTACGCTGCGCATAGTGCATGGCGGAAGGAGCGCTGGCCAAAGGTAAGTATAGTGGGGGAGAGAGGGGGCCAGATTGGAGGGGGTAATTCCATTTTCCAAAATTCACCTGAAAAAGTGGAATTACCCTGTAACTCCCGAGTTTCGTGTCACTTTAACGAAGCATAGCTCGCCCTCTGTGTAGTACCGCTCTTCGTCCTGTAGGTGGCGCTATGCAGCAAGTCATAGCAGCCTAATTATAAAGTTGGCTTGCAGTGATTGCAGAGAAGGACACGAGGCGTATGCATATGCATGTGTGTGCTTTCTTGCTCTCATCTGTGTATGCCAAGGGGGGTGTGTGAAGTGCTGAATGGTTCTATGTGGAGGAGTAGGAGGAGGCAGCTGGAGGAGTAGGCAGAGCTGTGAACACAGCGCTGCTGCCGGGTATCTGCACGGCTCAGGCTGTCTGCTGTCAGCTGCGCTTCCATTCTTGCCGGAGCGCTCACACTCCGTCCACCCTGATCAGCATCTGACACCTCCACCGACCTCGGACTGACCGGGATCTGCCTTCTATTCCCTTACCTTCTGGAAGCATAAATGTGTGGACATGGCTGGGGCACAGCCAGGGGTCCATGCTCTGCAGCTCAAACGTGTCTGCGTCTCTGACACCTTGAAGAAAGGATCCAAGTGTATCAAATGGGATGATGTAAGTAGCAATTCTCGGAATTCCGCTCCGTGCATGAGTGATCGGGGCTGACATCTCCTTGCTGGGCATGACAGCATGTGCCCTGTGCCTGCACTGCATGCTCCGCCAGCACTGCCAGCCAGCAAGTGGGTGAACATGGGAGTTTAAAGGGATCGATCAGAACAGAATGAATGGGGCTGCCTTCTGTGACAGCTGGCCATGGTGTCACGTAACTGACAGAAAAGTCAAAGCTTGGCCAGTCTGATTAGCTTCTGCAGCCCTGGAGGTGGGGGATGGTTCAGATGGCAGCCCTGAAAGGGTTAACACTTGAAGGAGAGCCATGTTTTCCTTCACTGTGACTCAAATCAGGATCTAAATATGACACTGTAAGATTTGTACATCTTCCCACATGGAAGCATTGACAAGTAGCTGAGGATGAAGGAAACGTCTGCTTCCTCCTTTCCAGGCAATAGGGAGACCTGGAGCCAAGAGCAGAGAAACCTTAAGGAAGGTCACAATTCGAGGTGTAGTCACCGCTCTGGAGAATTGAGGAATGTCAGGGTACACAATGACAGCTGTCACCTCTTAGACTTAATGATTAGCCAGAAAGAATGCAGTCATCACAATAGATCGCATGCAAGTCAGGCAAGGGCACAGGGATCTTTAAATGGCACTTGGTCACTGCTCCTCCATGCAGCCCTTCTGTACAGAACAAACAGGTGGTTGTTTATACAGTGTGATAGCTGCGCTGGAACAGCCAGCATGGGTGCTCTGTAAAGTTACAACTTTCAGTATCGTTCACGCATTCCTTTATGTTGTATGCACTGCAGGTGATATCATTCCTGACATCTTTAATCATTAGCCACTAGCCCGGGGACACCTCAGGTTATGCATACATGGATGCAGTTTTGCAGTCTTGCGTTTCGATTATCGCCATAGTTGTGTAAACATGTCTTATGTAAATTAATGTGTTCAGTATTAAAGCAGGATGCCCAGCAATTCTTACCTGATGCATGACTTTATCAGCAGGGTTATTGAACCCGTCACCCACTAACAGGTGGAGAGTAGAACGTCCAGGTTTACTTTATCCAAATAGCCCATAGCTGGTGAACAGGAGATTTATTTTAAAGTCTTTTATTTGTAATCTTCACTTCATTGTGTTATGTAAATAAACAGATTTATCAAATCTTAGAAGAGAACCAAAGCAGCAATGTAAATACTTGCATTTATTAGAACACTATACTTGTGTTTAAACTCTTCCTAGCTTTGTAGTACAGAGCATGTTGGTGGTCTAGAAATGTTGTTTGGTTTCTAGATTTAGGATCGGCTTTTAATGCAGTGACAGTTTTCACTAGGTCCAAAACATGCAGTACAAAAGCTGCATCATCGCTACCCATCTCTCATAGCTATGCTCACCTAATTTGACTGTACCCACTAGCTGGGATTTGCAGTTTTTGACATTCAGCACTCATATGCACGTCCATGCTTGTATCTTAGGTGGGTGCACAACTGTAATCTGCTCTGGTACCCTTTCTTCTGCACTAAAAATAATATATATGATGAAAATGTCCAACCCAATCATATATAGATGGATCCAATCATTTGGAAATGGTCAGATCAATCCAACAATAAATGGAGGGATCCTATCATTTGGAAATGATCAGACCAGCCCAAACATACATGGATAAATCTGATCATTTGGAAATGAATGGTCAGACCAACCCAATCATGCATGGAGGGATCTAATCATTTGGAAATGAATGATCAGACCAATCCAACCATACATGGAGGAGTCTATTCATTTGGAATGAATGGTCAGACTAACCCAATCATGCATGGGGATCTAATAATTTAGAAATGAATGATCAGACCCATGCAACCATACAGAGAGTGATCTAATCATTTGTATATGAATGAGCAGACCAACCTCACCATACATAGAGAGGTCTATTTATTTGGAAATGAATGGTCAGACCATCTCAATCATGCATGGAGGGATCTAATCATTTGGAAATGAATGATCAGACCAACCCAACCATACATAGATAGGTCTATTAATTGGGAAATAAATGGTCAGACTGTCCCAATCATGCATGGAGGGATCTAATCATTTGGAAATTAATGATCAGACCAACCCAACCATACATGGAGGGATCTAATCATTTGGAAATTAATGATAAGACACTTGCATGACCTTTCCTATAGCTGATTTGCACATCTGCTACTCAGCAGATGTTGGGTGATCTCATATTTACTGTCTATGAGGCAATAACAGGACAACAGTTTTTCTCCATTCATCTCTACCTACTAACACCAAAGAAAATAAAGTTCCAATCATGTAATAATCCATGATCGGAAGCCGATTAATCGATTATTGAAAAAGTTGACAACTTTTCCAATAATCGATTATAATCGATTATGTCGATTAGTTGTTGCAGCCCTACTCTCATGTATGAAGTGCAAGTGATCAAATCGATAAGAGTACAGCGTCAGTGCTGCAAGGGATTCAGCAGGTTGGAAAGTTTTGTTATGACATTCTATTCTGTTTGGTGTTGGTAGGTAGAGATGAATGGAGAAAACGTGTTGTCTCCTGTTATAGCCTCATAGGAAGTAAATAGAAGATCATCCGATATGCAAATCAGCTATGGGAAAAGTCGTCAAAGCTTACAGTAAGGGGCATATGTGGACCCAAAGGCATTCATTCTACATGTTTATGGGTATCAGCATCCCAGTTATATGTAAAACATGTAAGGGAGGATTAGGGGACTTTCAAGGTACCAAAGGTATATACGGTGTAGATAAAAATTAGTACTGTAACTTTTATTTAAATTGCAGTACCACATGTTGAGTTGCGGTCAATCGCATTGCAGTCGGGAAGTGCGTATGGGGTCCCAGTTTCGCATGTAGCCTCTTGAAAAAATTGTTTGCCCACCCCTGTTATATAATGATCACTTCAGTGAAAGGGTTGTATCTTCCAGAAAGGATCACTTCTATCTGTTAATATTTGTTGGGTTTGGTAATTGACCAAATCCACCATTTGTTGTGGAAAAAGATCATTTTCTATCTAAGGATTGTTTGAATCTGTGATCTGTATGGCCAATTATTCATTGGTTTGACCCCGGCTCTGCAAACCTGCATTCTAAATTCACTTTAAAGAATTTATTTGTGCTGTGTTATGAGTCATTTCTGAATTTCTCTTTTATTTTTTTTATTTTTTTCATATTAAATGTTTATTAAAGATTTTCAAAATATAACAAAAAACACACATACAATACATTAATCATACATTAAGACAATCACATTACATACGATATCTAAGGTAAAAGGGGGGACAAGAGACGCAGGATACAGGGGGGGGGGGTTGGTCCCCTGGTCGGGGCGCTTTTGGAATAAATGAATTTCTCTTTTAAACTGCCAATGTCTTTATTATATGTTTGGATTGGTATGCCATGCTGGTATACTACTGCTCCTATAGACATGACATGACCATCACCTGATTTGGCCATATTCATGGCATACACAATCTTCATGCCTATCTGTGCCCAATGATGCCCTATGGGCATCCTATTGAGGGCCATAAACAGCCCAAAGATAAGCAATGTCTGTTTTTTGAACTTCACTTGATATAATTATCTCATTTCATCTGACCTAAAGTGGGATAGCAAGTACCTCAGGCTGTAGGAACCATCTGTTATCATACAGGGACAATTTCCAGCCTGTTGTAGAATCTCAGTGTAAGCAGACAATTGACTGCAGTTGGTCATATACCTGTGGTACCTCCGGCAACGATTGTGGTGACCCCTGACATTGGTGTTGTAAAGGATGAGATATCTACCCAACGGTCTTCCTAGGGAGATATCTGCCTACATATGACCAACTCACTCAGGGGATACTAAGTATGTAAAGAGATTCAGTATACCCCTTTCCTCAAAGGATAAGGTGGGCGAAATGTAATCAGTGTATGTCATATTAAATATAAATCACTGTTGGATGAAATTTTATTCTGAAATCCAGCTGATGCAGTTTGAAGGTTTCTCCAAGTGATACACTGGCAGAAGTTAAAGATGCACTCTGGCATAAGCAAATATTGTGTACATAGAGTCATGTGTATTTCTACTTGAATCTCGGTGAGCTTTGTATGTTTCTTCCAAATCTGTGCAGTAATCCAGTGTGAAACGTTGCCTCTTTACTGGAGCTTCCTGTTATATAGAGCGTTCACTGCTGATCTGACCTATCTTGTATCCGTCTCCTCCTGTAGTTTACTGCAGGCAGCCTTTAGTGTGGCGGTGGGCAACGCTTTCCCTTCAGCTGTGCTTTAACTACACATCCCAACATGCCTCAGGGAGTCATGCCTGTAACTGTCAGTCTTGCAATGCCTCATTGGACTTGTAGTTCCACAACAGCTAGAGGGCCGGAGTTGCCCACCCCTGCTGTAGTGGGTGGAGCTGTTGGGCCCTGCCTCAGCTCTGCCATTTGTACAGGCTATGTGCAGTAAGGATGGGCATGTTCGCAGCTCCACGTGCCGAGCCAGCCAGCCAGGAAGCTGACAGCGCGCAGCGCCAATCACAGGCACTGGGACATTTCCCGATCTCTGCAGCTGCGGACCAGGAAAATGTCTGAGTACCTGTGATTGGCGCTGCGCGCTGTCAGCTTCCTGGCGGCTCGGCACGTGGCGCTGAGAACATGCCCGAGCCCATCCTTAATGTGAAACACAGTGATCATGTCATGGATTTCTAAAGGCATTTTGCGCACAAAAAATAGATTGATATCTTTTGTGACTATTGAGGATTATATGTATATGAAAGTTCTGTGCCCAGAGGGCAGCTTTAATACTTCCATTTCTTATCTGTTTGTATTTTAGTGTGTACATGGCAAAAGCTTTATTTTCAGTTGTCTGTTTTTAAAATGACTCCTAAAATATGTTACTGACTTCAAAATTGAATTGCACATAATTCCAGCAGCAGGAACTCTTAACGTGTATTTCAGTACTTATAACAGGTGTCATTTAAAATGCTTCTGTG